TACTGGGGATCGAACCGCGGTCCCTGTGCTTTGCCAAGCTTGTTTCAAGTAGGTGCTTTAGACCACTGAGCCATCTCTCCAGCCCCACCATTTACTGTTAATTGAAGACTTAGTCATTCCTGTACAAAGTATTTGAGGATCATCAAGAAGTCTGTTTCTTGGGGCCGGGGAGATGGCTCAGTAGAATAAGTTCTTCCCTGGCAAGCTCAAGGGCCTGAGTTCAATTCCCAGTTCTGCCAAAAAAAAAGTCTGTGTCCACCTCGCCTGTTCTTGTTTTGGTGGTCCTGGGCATTCTTCCATTGCACTGAGCTATTCTCCAGATCTTGTTGTTTTCTTTGAGACAGGGTATCATTCAGTTGCTCAGGTGGAACTTGAACATGCCACCTTCCTGCCCTAGCCTGCTGCGTAGCTAGAATTAAGTGCCACTGCTCTGGAATACCATGTCATGTTGTTATTTGAAGGAATACCTACAAATTTCAAGAAAGAGAAGGCATTGTTAAAACCATGGCAACCAGGAGCCTTTCTCTAGTGTTAGTTTTGCTTTTTTTTTTTTCCAGAACCGGTGATTGAACTTGGGCCCTTGCGCTTGCCAGGGAAGCGCTTTTTCCATTGAGCCATCTCCCCGGCCCCTGTTAATTTTTATAAGAATTTTATTGATTGCTGGGGGCCTGGCCTTAGCTCAGTTGTTTAAGTGGCTGCTTCCACAAAGCTGTCAGCCTCAGGTTGCTGTAGTTCAATCCCCACAACACTCCAGCCAGCCAAACCACCCCTGAGAGCATTCGGAGCCCCCAAAAAAGAATTATATTGATTGCTTACTGATTTCCATGCTGGGGAAATTTGTTTTTATTATTCTAAAGCTACTGAGTTTCAACATATAGCATTGGTTCTTGGTTCTGTACAAATGAACTTATTTCTGAAATACACTACAGGAATGGTGGGGCCAGGTTACCTTGATGATTAGAAGTTGCGCCTGTGCTGCCTTTCGCAGTGGTGTACTTTGTAGTCCCTGTGGGAGGGGCCTGAGGCAGGAGGATCGCTGAGTTTGAGGCCAGCCTGGTCTACGTAGTGAGTTCCTGTCTCAAAATAACAGAACAGGGCCGGGGAGATGGCTCAGTAGAATAAGTGCTTGGATGGCAAGTGCAAGGACGTGAGTTCAATCCCCGGTTCTGCCAAAAAAAAAAATCAACAGAACAGAAATTGTTGTACCTGTCAGCCACGAATGTGCCTGCTTCTGTCCTGCAAGGTAGAGTGTGGTGATAAAGACGGATGCTTCTCTCCCAGGTTGCACGAGACTCGCTCGGGAGATATCTGCAACGCCTGTGTTCTGCTTGTGAAACGATGGAAAAAGCTGCCGGCAGGATCAAAGAAAAACTGGAATCATGTTAGTTATTTTTCTTTTTCCTCAGAAATCCACCCCCCGCACCCTCCCTCCCTAGTAGAGATTGCACCCAGCCCTTTGTTTCCCACTTCCGAGGCAAGTTCTTGGGTTGCCCGGACTGGACTTGGACTTGCTGGTGCTCGTCACTCGGCTCCCAGAGTGCAGGCATTACCGGTGTATGCCACCTTCCCCGGGCCCTAGAACTTTTCACAAAATAGAACAACACTGTTCAGCTTTCTATGTATTTGTTTAGTCTTTTGCTACTGCCCCGGGACCCCTGTGCGCACTAGGGCAGGTGCTTCACAGTGGCCCTGTGCCCAGTGTCCGTCTTACTCAGTTCTTCTGTGCCTTGGCTTTCAGAGTGAAATTTATATAGAGTATTTTTTAAGTAGGGGCATTTTTTTCTTATCCCTTCCCCTGTGCTGCTGAGCTATGTCCCCAGCCCCCAAAATTGGGACTTTTGAAGGTGATGGTACCCTCTCCTTTGCACAGAAATCTGCCGAGGGCCAGTGTGAATGGAAGGCTTCTCACAATGCCCGAGGTCGGGGTGTGGGGAAGGCGGCTCCCCCATCAGCCACTTTGCCTTTTACTAGCTTAGAGAAATCATTGCTCTTTGCCTTGATTTGCTTCAGTCTAAAATTAAGACTAGTGACTAGCCAGATAGGTCAGTGGATTAAAGCACCTGCTTAGGAGAGTGCAGCGGCCCGGGTTCAATCCCTGGTGTGCTCTGCTGGCCCTGCTCCAGAGTGTACTGAGACAGCGATTAAGACTGAGCATGGTAGCGCACCTAATCCCAGTACTTGGGAGGCTGAACACATGAGGATCACTACAAGTCTGATCTACATAGTGAGACCTTGTAGACCCTGTACCAAATACATTAAAAAAAAAAAAATTAGCAGTGTAGCTCCCTTGCTGCTTTCTGGTTAAATCAAAAGTATTTGAGGGCGTTTTAAAGTATAAAACATTATCTTGTAGAAATGTTATTAAGCTTGGTGATGGGGATGATTTGCAGGACAGGGATTGGAACCCAGGACCTTTGCTCTGAGCTGCATCTCCAGCCTTCTTTTATCTTTAATTTTGAGCCAGCGTCTTTCTCAGTTGTACAGGCTAGGCTTGACCTTGCAGTCCTCCTGCCTCAGCCTCCTTCTCAGCTTGGAATCACAGGTGTGTACCACCACACCAGGGTGGTTTTGATTGTTTTAATCTAAATGGGTCAGATTAACCCTACACATACATCTATTTAAAAATGTTTTCCAGCAGGCTAGTACTGTTACAAAGAAAAAATTAAAAACAACAGGAAAGCAACTCAGGAGTGCAGGGCTGCTGCTGAGGGGTAGAAGGTGCGTGACATCTGAGCGCCCCGGGCCCCTTCTCGCCCCACAGAAGCCACCGCAGGTGACTTGTATTTGTTCTTCACCTTGCGATTAGAGGCACCCAGAGCCTTCTACATAGAACTGAGTATAAAAGCTGAGCTCTCAGACAGGCATGGATCTGAACCAATACCCGTGTCTCCTTTCTTAAATGATGTTAAATATTCAGTGTTTTCTTCCAGGTGGTAGATGCGAGGGCAGGACCCAGTCTAAAGACTACACTGAAACCAAAGAAAGTGAAAACCCTGTCTGGAAACAGGATAAAAAGCAACCAGATTAGCAAACTGCAGAAGGAATTTAAACGTCACAGTAAGTTTGGTATTAAAACTTTAGCAGTGAGAATAATTTTTCAGTTTTTATTTTTGGTTGGGGCTGATATATGGTATGTGTAGATTATTTTTCCATTTACAGCTTTTTAAAAAAGACCATTTGAAGTTAATTGGTAGAGATGTTATCTTATGACTATGAAATCTTAGAACCCTCCTTTTGGGGGGTGCTGGGAATCCACCCCATGACCTCACGCTTGCCAGGCAGGTGCTGTGCCACTATATCCTCGGCCATAGAACTCTTGATTTATTTTTCATGAAGAAATAAAATTTCATTATAAATATAAGAGAATAACAATAGTTAATGGTCTGTGTAACTGCCATCAAAGTCTATCTGATTTTGATGTCATAAAAGCATTATCAAGGGGCCGGGGAGATGGCTCAGTGGAATAAGCGCTTCCCTGGCAAGTGCAAGGGGCCTGAGTTCAATCCCTGGTTCCTCAAAAAGAAAAAGAAAAAAGCATTATCAGTCTGCTTACTGATGACTGATGTCTATAACTGCATCTTAATTTTCTAGAAGGCGCATTCCTAGTTTGTTTGCTTGGTTTTCCTGCGCCTGAGGAAATCGCATCCTGGCAGTAGGAGAAAGGTACTCGCTAGTGGACAGTCTGCAGCCAAAGCCTGGATTTCCAGGAGGAAATTTTAGGACTCATCGTTTGCATACTGAGTATAGCCAACCTGCAGGCTTTCACGTTTAAGGATCAGTGTGTTCTGTGGGTAATGAATGGAAAATTAATGTCAGATTAACAGCTTCGCACGCTGTCATTGGGACCTGTGGGGGCAGGCCGTGCTCGGGAGTGTCTCAGGTTCTGGCGAGGAGTTGCACTGCACGTAACGGTGCTGAAAAGTTTTTCATCACCCCAGGAAGGGAGTGACCACTGCTGAGTCAGCTATTTCTGTTTTTGCAGCAAAAATGTATGAGGGCATTCACATTAGGTGGGGTGCATATGTAGGCTGGAGAGTCATGTTTGTCACCTCACCTTACACTTCAGGTCCAGCCAGATTTAGAGCTCTCAGGATTGTGGAGAGGGGTTAAGGACTTGTATTCGGAGCTCTTGGGATTTTAAAAACGTCTATAGGTCCTTGTTAGACTGTTATCAGTCTAGACAAATTGGTCATCATGCATATTTTTTTAAATCATTTATTTATTTATTTATTTATTTATTTATTTATTGTGTGGGTGTGGGGGGGTGTGTGGCCAGCTCAGCCCACCAGGGGGCGGGGCGGGCTGGCATGTGGTGCTGGGGATTGAACCGCAGTCGCTGTGCTTTTGCTTAGCTTAGCTTGTTCTAAGTAGGTGCTTTAGACCACTGAGCCATCTTACCAGCCCCCATCATGCATATTTTAATTTTAATTTTTTTGGTTCTTTTAATCATGATTCATTTATTTGGTACAGGATCTCTCTGTGCAGCTTGGACTGATAGTGATCCTCCTGTCTCAGCCTCCCCAGCACTGGGATTACAGTAGGCTTGCACCACCAGGCCTGGTTTCGGCCAGCACTTGTGCCTGGGGTTCTGTGGCCGGCATGGCATATAGTGCTGGGAAGTGAACCCAGGTCCTTCACTTGCCAGGCATATCTCCCTGGCCCCGCGCATGTTTTAGAACAATGTAAAGAGATGGCCAGTCTTGGTAACACATGCCTGTAGCACTCTGAGAGGCTGAAGCAAGAGGGTCACCAGTTCTAAACCAGCATGGGCAACTTGGCAGTGTAGTAAAACCCTATCTCAAAATAAAGATATTTTAGGGTGGGCTTAGTGCAGTGGACTGGAACCCGCGCAGCGACAGGGGGTCCGGCGTGCCTTTCCGTCTCCACACCCAGCGCGCTGAGACAGCAGTTAAGACTGAGCGTGGTGGCACCTGCCTGGAATCCCAGTGCGTGGGAGGCTGAAAACAGGAGGATCGCTGACTGAGTCTGATCTGTGTAGTGAGACTCTGAAGACCCTGTACTAAAAATTATAAAGATAAAGGATATTTTGGGACAGGGGTTCTGGGCGTGTAGCTCTGCAAACAAAGGCCCTGGATTTAATCCCCAGTGTGTCAACCTCTTTCCCCCGCTTAAAATAAAACAAATTAAGTTTACTGACAGGTGGAGCAAGACTGTGAAGAACTCATTTTGATATACTTTATGTACATAATTGTCTCAATTATCTCCATCTTAAGAGGTTAGGATAAGAAGCCCAGGGTGGCTGTGTAGCCTTGGCCAGGTCACTTAGTAAGTGGAAAGGTGAATTTGAATTTTGGCAGGTGGGCTTCGAGACCCTGGGTTTTTTTCCCACAGCACTGGGTAGAATGGTCCTACCGCTGATTGTGTTTGCTTCCGTGCATCCAGCAGCTACCTGGCCTGTTACCTGCTGGAAACACCGTGTGTGGAGTGTGGGAAGGGCTGGCCTAGGGCTTCAAGGTCTGTGGAGTTACAGCTGTAGGGGTGTGGCTGTGGGGTGCCGAAGCTTAGTCGAAGCCTCCTATCCTATCAGCCTGTGAGAAGGGCTTTTTTATAAAACTGTTTTTGTTGTTGTTATGTGGTTCTGGGGATCCAGCCCAGAGCTTTGTGCATGAAGGGAGGAGCTCCATGAGCCGCATCCCCTGCCCACGCCACAGGTTCTTTTTTTTTTCTTTCCTTTTTTTTTTTTCTTTCTTTCTGTGTTTTGAGACGGCTTCACTGTGCAGTTTGGGCTGGCCTTGAACTTGTAGCAGTTCTGCTTCAGCCTCCCAAGTGCTGAGATTACAGGTGGGCACCGCTATGTCCAGCACACACTACAAATTCTTATCTATTTTTTGGGCATTCTTTCAGAAATTTGTAATGATTTCTGATTCTTGTAGAGTAAATTTTGTGGGTGACATGGAGAGCCTTCGGAGTTTCTGTCCGAGGGAAAGTGTCTCCCTGTGTGGCAAAGTGAGAAAGCTGTGGAAACGGCCAGCTCCACCTGGCCACCTGCCTTGTGCTGGCTTAATCGCTGCTTTGTGCCTTTCCAAATCCTATTTGATTTTCAAGACTTGTAAATTGGAGTTGTTTAAAGAATGTCCATACCTACATTTCTGCAAAAAGTCCTTTATTGTGTTTATATGTCGTTACTTACATGTGTTCTAAGGCCTAAAATATTAAAACATGAAATTACAGTTGTAAGTGAAAAAAGCTCGCTCACTGAAATTTCAGATGGTTCAGAGCTATTACATACTTTTTTTTTTTTTGGTGGGACTGGGGATTGAACACAGGACCCTGTGCTTGCCAGGCAAGCACTTATTCTACTGAGCCATCTCCCCGGCCCCCAATTACACACTTCTGAGATTGTGGGTTTCCTCAGCAGCGTAGAGTGAGTCCACTTTGATTTGTTTGGGAAGTTTAAAAATGTCCCACTAGGCTTGCTCCGCCTGCTACTTTGGAGGATTCTTTTCATGAAATTGAATGCTATTATATCGGAAATAAAGGATGTGTACCATACTAATGGTACTTTATTTTACATGTTTATAATTTTGTCTTTTTATGTTAACTTTTTGGGGGGGGGTGTGGAAACAGGGATTGAACTCAGGCCCTTGCGCTTGCCAGGCAAGTGCTTATTCTACTGAGCCATCTTCCCAACCCCCTTATGTTAACATTAATGCAAACTGTTGAGCTTAATAGGACCCTTCCACCCCCCTCTGACATATAACCGGGTTTTAGTGCTTAGTAAATATGTGATTATTTTCTGAGTTCAGAGGATTGCCTTATGCATTTGTCTGGTGGATGTGGGTTAATTTTATCCTGGTTATGATGTTGGCTGTGGTACAACAATATTGTAGCCTTCTAGTGTAGTGGCTGACGAACAAGATGTGTTTTTTGACTTTTAAACTTATATGAAGACTTCTGAGGAAAAACATTACTGAGATTTATTTAGCCTTTCATCTAATGAACTTTACCATTGATTTAAATTAGGATCTGTTGTCTTCCTTCTTTCATAGGTAAGGTAGTATTTTCCTTTGGCTGACTTCATGATTTCCTTTAATTTTCAGAGGTTTAATAGGGGTTTGTCTTGGCATGAATTTCTTCAGTTTATCCTGTTTGTATAAATGCACAGGAGCTTGAGTCTGTCAGATTTATGTCACCTACCACGTTTGGTAAAATTGTAGCCATTTTATTTTGTTGCTCTTTCACCTCCCCCAGCCTCTCCAAAACTGCAGTGATGTTAATAAAACTTTTTGTTGGGGGCCGGGGAGATGGCTCAGTGGAATAAGCACTTCCCTGTTAAGCGCAAGGGCCTGAGTTCAATCCCCGGTTCCACCAAAAAAAATAAATAAATAAATAAAAATAAAACTTTTTGTTCTGGGAATCAAACTCAGGACCTTGCACTTGCCAGGCAGGCGCTTGTGCCACTATCCTGTATCCCCAGCTCCATTAATATAGCTTTCTATTTTTTTTTTTTTTTATTTTAACATTGTGTGTGTGTGTGTGTGTGTGTGTGGCCAGCTCAGCCCACCAGGGGGCGCAGCTGGCTGGCATGTGGTGCTGGAGGATTGAACCGTGGTCCCTGTGCTTTGCCAAGCTTGTTCCATGTAGGTGCTTTAGACCACTGAGCCATCCCTCCAGCCCCGCTTTCTATTTTTTTTAAAGAATTTTAGAAATAGTTTAAAAAATTTAGGGCCTGGGGAGATGGCTCAGTGGAATAAGTGCTTCCCTGGCAAGCTCAAGGGCCTGAGTTCAATCCCTGGTTCCGCAAAAAAAAAGAAAAAAAAGAAAGATACAGAATTTCACTTAACAAAATAATAGGAATTCAGCAATGGTTGCTTTGCATAAGCCATGCAGGCTCTGCCACTGAGACGGGGCGTGGTGGCACATACCTATAATCCCAGCCCTGGGGATATTGAAAACAGGAGGATCCCTAGAGTCTGAGCTGTGTGGTGAGACCCTGTACTACATACATTAAAAAAGAAAAAGGAGAGAAAGAAGTGTAAAGTGGTAACTGTTCCTTTCAGTAGACCGGCAGAAATAAGCAGTACAATGATCCCGTGTGTATTTTTTCCTTTCTAGCTTCATTTGTTTTTTCTCTGTTTTCAGATTGGGTAATTTTTGTTACTGCAGTTTACAACTGGTTTTGTTTTCTCAGTCCCCTTTGTTGTTACCATCCACTAAGCTGCTTATTGCATTTATTGTAGTTTTCAGTTTGAAATTCTCCATTTGTTTCTTGATAGTTTGTCTGTTGTCCCAACCCATCCTGAACCCTGGCCTGTGGCTGCCAAACACGAGGCTGCCCTGCACTGTGTCCCAGTGTCCTCTCCCCTCCCTTAATGAGGACTTCCTGTGATTTCACTAAAGCCATGTTTCAGAGTGTTCGTAACGGCACACTGACGTTTTTTTGTCATGACTGCACTAAAATCTTCCTCTAATGATTCTGACATCTGTCACCGTGGTGCTGGCATGTGCTTGCCTTTTCATGCAATTGGAGACATTCCTGTTCTTCACTGTGCTGCGATTTTGTTGAAATTATGGACGTTTTCAAATTCTGCTGTGAGACTGGATTTTTTTTTTTTTTTTTTTTTTTTTTTTCCTCGAATGCCTTCAGGGCACTTTTGGCCATCGGGAGAGTTGTGAGGTTCGAACTCCAGCAACCTGAGGCTGCCAGCTTTGTGGAAGCAGCCACTTAAAGGACTGAGCTAGGGCCAGGCCCCCTGTGAGACTGGATCTTACTGAACCTGTTTGAACTGGGTTGTCTAGGCCCAGTTAAAACGGGGCGGGGGGGGGGCGGTATGGCCACCTGGTTCATTGCTGCCCTTGGAAAAGCCGAACTGCCTCCGTTGGTGTCCAAGGGGGCGCAGGTTCTTTCTTACCAGTGGGAGAGGATTCAGGCTCCCTGTGGCCAGCGGCTGGCCTCATTGCTGGTGGACCTTAGTGGAAGTCCTCGCTCTGCACTAGGCTTCTGGCTACTTACTGCCCTCCTACAAGTGGGTGCCAAGTGACAGTGTACACCAACGTGGGATGTCGCACCTTGCTCCTTGGCCTTTACTGGGGTGGAAGGTGATGGATGGTCCAGGGTTTTCTTCTGTGTTTAGTTGGAGCAGAATGGTTATTATGTAATAAAAGTTAACCAAATGTTAGGCTGCCCCCTTTCTCTAGTCCTTTGACAGAGTTCAAGTGGCATTTCTTGGGGCTTTTCCTGTGTGTGTGTGTGTGTGTGTGTGTGTGTGTGTGTGTGTGTGTGCTACCAGTTCTATTCTCATTTGCACTTCTGAGTTGCTGCTTTCTCCAGGTTGTGATTTTTGAGGCAAAGAAAAAAGCTAGAGAATTCCCCACTGTGCTCACCTTTCCTTAGGTCTGAGGTCTTGAGTTGCTTAGCATTCCAGTCAGCTCAGAAGTTTTAGGTCTGTAATGAGCAGGGCTTTTTTAGTTGTATGAGCAGTAGGTAGAGGGAAAATGTGTATAGCCCATCGTGTGTGTGTGTGTGTGTGTGTGTGTGTGTGTGTGTGTGGAACTGGGGATTGAACTCAGGCCTTTGCGCTTGCCAGGCAAGGGCTTATTCTACTGAGCTATCTCCCCAGCCCCTGTATAGCCCACCTTGCTGGAAGCAGAAATACTTGTAAAATTACTGTAGTGTAAGTTTTCAGGGCTGGGAATGTAGCTCAGTGGTGCAGTGCCTGCCTGGCAAGTATGAGGTTGAGTTTGATTTCCAACATCAAACAAACAAAAATAATTGTCTTCAAAATTAGCATAGAAAATGAATTCTTGTTTACCTTTTTATCAACTTAATGTCCTTTTTTTTTTTTCAATTTAATATCTTAATGACCTTTGCATTTGTTTTTTGGTACTGGGGATCAAGCTCGGGACCAGGTCTATAGCACTGAGCTACATCCTCAGCCCCTGTCTTACTTAACGGTTTGAAGTAATGTATAATCAATGGAGATAGTGCTGCCAGTGTCAGATAATGGTGTGCTCCCAAGCCCGCCCTGTGCGTGCAGTTCTCTCCTGATGCCAGGCAGCCAGTGCGAGCAGAGGCTCCTGGTCAGCAGCCCCTGGTCAGCCACCATAGTCTCCAGGGCGCAGAGCTGATACTCCACAGTGCACTGTTGCTGAGCCATGCTGTGCACTAGGTGTGCTTAAACGTGCTTCCGACTCAGTGTGTATTACAGTGGGTTCATTAGGAGACACACACACACACACACACACACACACACACACACACACGTCATCTCGGAGCAGTGCCGAGTTGGTTACAAGTGATGACCTTGAGCTTTTCCTTCCATGCAGATTCTGACGCGCACAGCACCACCTCCAGTGCCTCCCCCGCCCAGTCTCCTTGTTACAGTAACCAGTCAGATGATGGCTCGGACACAGAGATGGCTTCTGGCTCCAGCAGAACGCCGGTTTTCTCCTTTTTAGATCTTACATACTGGAAAAGGTAAAAGCAACAGAAAATACCCTGTAATCAACCACCAGTCTTAATTACAGGCAGCAGTTGCCCACTTCTGTACCAACTAAATGACCCTTGGCAAACAGTACACATGGTTGGAGGTTGTTTGAACAGGGTCTGAGCAGGCGCTCTGGTTCTGTGTTTCCTCCTAAAATTGATTAATGCTAGAAAATACTTCTAGGTAGCTGCATTTCCTATAGTGGAGTCGATTAAAAATTCTGACAACTATCAGTTTTGCCACCTAAAAATATGTAAGTGCTGCACATACTTTTTTTTTTTTAAATGTGTGTGGCCCCAAAATTCAAAAGTGGAGTAGGAAAGGGAAAATATTTTCAAAGGGAAAGTAGTTAAGGATTTTCTAATTTGCACAAAACAGATGCAAGCAAAAAAAAAAAAAAAAAAATTCATCCAGAAATCTCATCAGTGGACGTACAGAATGTGAAAGTTGAACTAGGTCTGTGGTAGGCATTTTAAGTATCAGTTCCCCACAACGAATGTATTCATTATGTATCACAATGACATACTTAGAAATTTTTTTTTTTGTGGAACCAGGGATTGAACTCAAGCCCTTGCGCTTGTCAGGGAAGTGCTTATTACACGGAGCCATCTTCCCAGCCCCAATGTTTTATTTTGATTTTTAAAACTTATCTTTGGTACTGGGGATCGAACTCAGGACCTTGCGCTTGCCAGGCAGGCGCTTATACTATGGAGCTACTTCCTCAGCCCCACGAAAAATATTCAAGATTCTCTGGCTGCCCCTATTTATTTATCAAAACAAAGCAGGAACTAGGGGAACACTGAAGAAAGACGGACTCTGCCTTGAGAGGCAGGGCCCTGTCATTCAAAGACCTTGGAAGTTGCTCAAGGGCTTCTCCAAGTAAGACATTACATTAGTTTAGGAGAACTGTGTCATCCTCAGGAAGGTCTCCACCCAGGAGTGAGGTGCCTGCAGCTACAGTCTATCTAGTTAATTACGGAGGTTGGAGCCAGGTGTCCTTCACTGTGGCCTTGTCTTACAGGCCTCCGTGGGGGCCTGTGACTCGGAGGTTCACGTACTATGAGTCTGCTGCCCAGCTCCAGACAAGGGCCTGATGAGCCTCGGGCCAACTCTCATACACGTGAAAAGCCAACTGGTTAATATTAAATCTGCTGAGAGCTTAGTGGTCTCCATGGATGTTCATATGTTTTCATAGTTAAGGAAGTACAGTTTAATTTTATATGCACTAGACCAGTCAATGCTAATATAATTTCTGTTGTAAAATCTTGGAGACCATGGAAAGGTGAAATTTTGAAGATGGGAATGAAAAAGCTAACCGTGTTGGCTAATAATTGGCTTGCTGAGTGGAGTTGAAGGTGTTCCATTCCTGTGTCCTAACAGTATAATCTAGAAAACAGTTCTAGGATGTATACGCTGCACACATACAGCAGCATTGTCATTGGCAACAGTCATACGCCAGAGGGGCCATGGAGATGGCTCAGTGGAATAAGCACTTCCCTAGCAAGTGCAAGGGTCTGAGTTCAAGCCCCGGTTCCACCCCCCCAAAAAAACAAAAAACCCCCACAGTTATACGCCAGAGAATGGATAAACCAACAATGGATAGTCCACCCACCAGTGAAATAGAGCCCTGTACCTATATGTGAGTCTTTGTTTCTCAATGTTGAGCCAGAGTTGCCAAATATAATGTGATTCTATACGTGTGGGTGTTTGTGTAGTAGATAACTTAGCAATTTACAGTAGAGACAAACGGCAGAACCAGAAGACAGAAGGCAAAAAGGGAAACGAAAGCCCGAGAGCGATGGTGGCCAACCTTTTAGAGCTTTCAGTGATAACAAATGCTGTCTGTGGCACATTGCTCTCGGTCTGCCACCACTGCCCTAGTGCCAAGGGAGGCAAGACGCAGTCACTGGGGTATGTCCAGAGAAGTCTGCATATTGCCTTTTTTTTTTAAATTTTATTTATTTATGTGTGTGTGTGTGTGGCCAGCTCAGCCCACCAGGGGGCGGCGCTGGCTGGCATGTGGTGCTGGGGGATTGAACCGCGGTCCCTGATGCTTTGCTAAGCTTGTTCTAAGTAGGTGCTTTAGACCACTGAGCCATTTCACCAGCCCCCATATTGCCTTCTTGAGAAGGGATCTGCTTCTCAGGTGATCCTGGCTGTTCCCAGTTTGTTTGTTTGTTTGTTTGTTTGTTTTTGGCGGAACTGGGGATTGAACTCAGGCCCTTGTGCTTGCCAGGCAAGCGCTTATTCTACTGAGCCATCTCCCCAGCCCCTGTTCCCAGTTTTAATGTCCAGTGATAGCACCCTTACACACTTTGATCTACTCGGTTAACTAAAATAAAACCACCGCAGCTATCTGCTTGCCTCTGGAGGCTGTGCTGAGTTCTTTGAGGACCTACAAGTTTGGAAGGAAATAGTTAATTTTAGAAGCAGCCCCTGAAACATGCTCTTAAATGCCTTCTTCCTCCCTAATAGTCAAGAAAATTCCATAGCAGCCTTAGAGGGAGGGGTGGTTTCCATTCCCCAGTCAATGTGCAGTCTGTCAGGAGTCCTTTTACTGGGGATGAGAGAAGATTGCAGAAGTAGAAACTCTTGGTCATGTTAGACTAGTAATAAGAACAGTAGTTCTGTGTTTAGTTCCCTCAGCATTTACTTTCCTGCTCTTAATATGCTTTGTTCCACTTGTCCCTTTAGACAGAAAATATGCTGTGGGATTATCTACAAAGGCCGCTTTGGGGAAGTCCTCATCGACACGCACCTCTTCAAGCCGTGCTGCAGCAACAAGAA